TTCCCCCTGTGATTTGGAAGTAAACAGATTGGGTATATTTTCTTCTGTTATTATTTTGTTTCAGGGAAAAGTAGTGGTTATTAGAGGAGAAGGGCCGAAAGGAGGCCCGGGCATGCCTGAAATGCTCACCCCAACAAGTGCGATAATGGGGGCAGGACTTGGCAAGGTGAGCAATAATATGTCATTTCGACGTTCTTAGGTTGGTTTGACTTTGTCTTGTGAATGAAAAGAGTCGTGCATATTTTAAGTATGTCATCAAACATTTGTGTTTGAATTGTTTTCTGCAGGAAGTTGCGCTGCTAACTGATGGAAGGTTTTCTGGAGGTTCTCATGGATACGTGGTTGGCCACATATGTCCAGAAGCACAAGTAAGTCGGACTTTATATATAATTTCTAACACATTGCAAACCTTCGATTTGTTTCCTGCATGTTCTTTTCATGGTAGATTTTCAGCCATTAGCAAAAGATTTATGGGGTTATCCTTAATATATAATTATGTGGGGTTTTAAGGATTTGGAAGTTTTTAGAATTACGACCATTTAGAAAATTCTACGGATACCGTCAGAATGGAATTCGATGAAATCTTTCACTCTGTAATTGTGTGGATTTCATTTTCTCTGTAGATTTTTTTTTTTCTTCTATTTTATAAGATAAACTTAGCATGCAATTACTGTTGCATTTAGTCCCAAAAAAAAAAAAAATGGAACTGACAAAACAAAAAGTAAAAACTATCTAGGTCGATAGTATGTTTGTTTTTTGCCATTGGGCTAGAGGGATATGAATGTTAATAATTTTTTTTTTCTGCGAAAATGATGATATTGGAATTTTATTGAATCTACAGAATTCCAACTCGAGGATCAAGTTTTTTAGTAGAATCCATGGAATTCTATGTTGAGGGCACCTGGATTAAGATAGAATTTCGAATTTCATCGAAGTCCATATTAATTTTTTTCCCTAAGCACCTTATGTTGAAGAGATGTTGTTTGTGAACTTTATTCTTTTTTCCTTTAATAAAAAAATATTCAGTAAATGTGATCTCTAATAATTTAACTTGGAGATGAACATAATTGTTATGTTTAAATTCCAGGAAGGTGGTCCCATTGGTCTGATTGAGAATGGGGACTTAATTACGATAGACATTCAGAAGAAGAGGATAGATGTGAACCTAACAAATGAGGAGTTGAACGAGCGCAGAAAGAGGTGGAACCCACCACCTTATAAGGCTGAACGAGGAGTTCTTTACAAGGTCTGTGAGCGTTAAATGTGTATTTTCTAAATTAGAAGCTTTTATATTCTTATTCAGTTTTTTTATCATTTCCTTTTGATTTTTTCAGTACATTCGTAATGTGCAATCAGCCTCTAAGGGATGCGTGACCGATGAATAGAATGAGGCTTTGCGTGGAAAGGGCATATAGAGATTATTGCTTCAATTACATTATCTTGACATAGTTCACGATTTGGGTTCGTGGCTTCTTGGTGTATCTCGAGTTCTATGCTCAAAATTTTCTATTATGACTTGCATCTAATGTCCTCCAGGTCATTGCGGCTATTTTTTTTTTAATTTTAATTTTAATTTTTTATTTCTTGTATTTATATTCAGAGGGATATGAACATTAATGTGTTGAGAGTGAGAGGCCGAATCTGTAAAACTGTATCAAGGGAGCAAAAATGTAGAATGTTCCATGTGCTAGGTTAATAAATGACTTTGCTTGTTGCAGAAGGTTGGCAGTTTGAAATAAATGGTGAAGCTTCAAAGTTTTAATGTTTTATGTAGCAATTGTTCCAAAGGTTGGTCACGATGCCCGTGGAGGAGCTCGATCTCAAAAGAAATTCTGAGCCCCCAAATTTCACGTTGCCGTCGTGTTTTAGATCTGAATTTCACGAAAAGGGTGTGTGATGAGTAGTATTCAATGGAATATATTTAGCCAAATATTTATGTTAGTAGGTAGATCTGCAAATATATATTCCATTTAGATGTTTTATAATTTTTCAACAATTAGTTATGTAAGTAGAATTGGACGGAGTTTAGCTAGTAGAAAAATGGGCATAGTCGGAAACTGATAACAAAGCACGTTCTCATGGTTTCATGAAGTTGTGCAAGGAAAACAAAACGGCAGAAACCAATACTAAAATGCACGCAGTACAAACACAGTTCTATAAAGAAGCAGAAGGTCTCTTAACAGAGATCGATTATTGTGAGAACACCATAGAAGGCCTATAACAGAGACCAATTATTGTGATAACACCATCCATAAGTTGTTACATGGTATAACTGGCTTGTGAATTCCATATTCAAGATCCACTGGAACTTGGTGAAGAGTGGGCATGGTGTTTATCGAGCATCCTTGGACAGAAAATTCTGCGTCTCAACTGTACGTGAATTGCAAAGTTCGTCACAGGAGTCACCCCTCTCAAACACAGCAGCCGCCCCCATCCCAGTGCCTACACAGATGAGACATTTCAAGCTTTAACTTTGTTGTACGTGTGTGTGTGTGTGTGTGTGTGTGTGTGAGAGAGAGAGAGAGAGAGAGAGAGAGAGAGAGAGACCTATACACATTGACACAACGCCAAAACGACAATCTTTGCCACGGCGCTTCATTTCATGCAATAAAGTAGCAACACAGCGAGCTCCTGTCGAAATAACCAAGCAACAAGCAATTAAAACATATGCTATTACTGTGCAAAGGTTTGAAAACCATCTAATGCATCCAGGATCATGTCATTTGACAAAAATCTCATAGGATCTCAAACCTACAGATGACCCCCGCTTATATTATCACCACCAAGCATTTTAAAAGTTGTGTTCTAATGTACTCATTCACATTTGTGGAAAAAGGCTGACGAGTGACAAATGCAATTTATTTAGAATACTAGGAAGATGCGGCACGTGATATTCTTGCTTTTTTTTTTTTTAACTTAAAAATGTTTTTTTTTTAGATTTATATTTGTTAGTATAATAGTATAATATATTTTTTTCCATAAGTCCCAAACAAGTTGGGGTAGGCTAATTTTTTCTTTCCATTAGTTAAAAAAAATATATTTAACAAAAAAAAAAGTGTATTTTATGGTAAACATTAACAAACGCATTGAATGGTGAAATATAATATTTAGTATTATTAACCGAAAACTATGATAAATAAAACTAAATAAAAAATCATTGAGTTGAAAATATTATTAAAAAAGAAGAGTAGTTTCTTGAAACTTTTGAATTGCCAAAAATGCTTTCACTGAAGATAAGTTTTAAGGTTATTAATGTAACTTTTATATTAATGTTAGAAAGTTACACCTACCTATACTTGTTAAGTTTTTAAACCTCCATTTCTTAATTTACTTTAATTCATTTTTTATCTTCATAATTAATGATATCTTAAAATTGTTACACATTCAAATATATTATCGACGCAAATGTATAGATTTTGAATACATAATTTATTCTATATACGATGTTAGGTTTCAGTTTGATTAGTTTAGAGGTAGATTTAAATGGAAGAGAAAATATTATTTTAAGATTAAATAAAATATATTTGATTTTATTAGTGTAATATATATAACGCACCAATGAAAATATCATCTCTAATTTCCAAATATCATATTATTTACTATAGTGATTTTCGGTTACAATATTAAAAAGATTAAAGAAGAACAATTAAGTTAACATGAATATTTTTAATAATGATTGAATGAAAACTTCAACATACAAAATGTAAATTTTATGTAGAAAAAAGTTAGTCGTTAAGTGAAAAATATATAATTTTAATAGAACGTTTTGCTAAATTACTCCCTAAAACAATATGAATAATATAATTTAAGTTTACACGTTAATGGTATGTATAGTATAAATGTTTTTTTTTTACTGATAATATATGTAATATAAATAAAAGTTAGACTAATTATTAAAATAAAATAAATAATTTAAATCTTGAATTTTAAAATACGTGTAATTATTAGAATTAAATAAAAATAAATCGTACATTTACTTTAAATTTGTTGCCATTACCCAATCTTATTTATAAAATCATTCATAAATTAAATGTTCCATTAGTTTAACAAAAAAAAATGGTGTATTTTATGGTAAACATTAATAAATGCATTGAATGATGAAATATAATACTTGGGTACTATTAATCGAACTCTATGATAAATAAAACTAAATAAAAAAACATTGGGAAGAAAATTCAAGATTAAATTAATGATATATTTTTTTTGGTAAAATTTTAAATGTTGAAGAAATTTATGTTGTCTTTGATTTTGTTATTTAATGATATCCTCATTATGCTTAAAATAATGATCATTATTATTGTCTTATAATATAGGTTTTTAATGCATTGTCTTATGCCTTCTTTTTGTGTGATATTCTTCGAAAAATAACTCATACTTGATATAACTATCATTTGTAATCATCATTTTTGCAGTGTTGATTAGAAACTAACCAACTATGTTTGTATGTTTTGTTTCACACTAATAATGGTGCATATGTTTAATTGACATTCATATGTTTAATATTGACTGAATCATAAATAATTCTTCAACATACAAAATGTAAAATTTATGTCGAAAAAAGTTACTCGTTAAGTGAAAAATATATAATTTTAATAGAAATGTTTTGCTAAATTACTTAAATTACTCATTAAAACATTATGTATAATATAATTTAAGTTTACATGTTAATGGTATGTATAGTATAAATGTTCTATCTTTATGATAATATATGTTGCATAAAGTAATCTATCGTTTACTTTAATTGTAATATAAATAAAAATAGAGTAATTATAAATATAAAATATAACAGCCAAAACTTGATTTTAAATCTTGAATTTTAAAATACGTGTAATTGTTTGCAAGTATAATATTTCATAATACTTAGATATATATTTTCTCTCTCGATATAATGTTATAAAGGATAACAAAATATTTGAAAATGTCATTAAAGTTGATTATTTTTTTAAAAAAAAATTACATCAAAAGATTAGAAACAATAACATCCGACCAATCTATCTATATATTCTTCGGCATTAGCTGACTGAAAGCACACCCATCTATATATAATGTCCAACATAAACTATTGTTGAATTTCCTAACATTGTCATGCATGCATTGTCATTTTCGTTCACGGATTTTTAAGACTATCCTAATTGTGAAAAAAATAAATAGTTCCTTTTTAAATAGTTTCTTTCATGTTTTACTTTCATCTTAATATTATTTTTCTATCTTTGTCAATATTAGTATATAGTTTATTTTCCCTACATTTGAGAAATGATTTGAAACATTTAATTTATAGATGATTAATAAATAAGATTGGCTAATGACAACAAATTTAAAATAAATGTACTATTTAATTATGATTAATTGCTTTTAATTGTAACTATTTTCCAATATATACACGTATTTTGAAATTTAAGATTTAAAATCAAGTTTTAGTTGTTTTATTTTATTTTATAACGACTCTATCTTTATTTACATTATAGATTAATTTATATAACACATATTATCAAAAAAAAAAAAAAAGGATTTTATACTATACATACCATTGTACTTAAATCATATCGCGATGAATATAAATAATGATTCTTTCATATTTTACTTTTATCTTAATATTATTTTTATATTTTCGTATAGTTTATTTTTCCTCCTTTTGAGAAGTGATATGCAATATTTAATTTATGAATGACTTTATAATTAAGATTGGATAATGGCAACAAATTTATAGTAAATGTTCTATTTATTGGCTAAACCTTGGAAATCTTAATGCCATAATGCCTTTCAAATCCTCCTAGCCATTATCCTACTGCAATAATTCTTGCTAAGAAAAACGCCCATGTTGTGGCAATTCCACCTAGAAGGAAAAAAAAAGCATTTATACTATACATACCACTGTACTTAAATCATATCGAGATGAATATAAAATAATGACTCTTTCATATTTTACTTTCATCTTAATATTATTTTTATATCTTCGTATAGTTTATTTTTCCTCCTTTTGAGAAGTGATATGGAATATTTAATTTATGAATGACTTTATAAATAAGATTGGATAATGGCAACAAATTTAAAGTAATTGTTCTATTTATTTTAATTTAATTGATATTATCTGTGACTATTTTTTAATAATTACACGTATTTTAAAATTCAAGATCTAAAATCAAGTTTTGGTTATTTTATTGTATATTTATAATTACTCTATTCTTATTTAAATTACAGTTAAAGTAAACTATAAATTAATTTATGCAACACATATTATCATAAATATAAACTTAAATCATATTATACATATTGTTTCAGTGAGTACTTTAGCAAAACATTTCTATGAAAATAATATATTTTTCACTTAACGAATAACTTTTTTCGACATAAATTTTACATTTTGTATGTTGAAGAATTATTTTTATTCAATCATTGTTACACATATGCATGTCAATTAAGCATATGCACCAATGAGAGTATCGTCTCTAATTTCCATATATCATATTTTATTGCAGAATTAAAAAAATTAAAGAGGAACAATTTAGTGAACATGCATATGTTTAAGAATG